CCACTATTTAATTTTCTATACAGTGTGAATATAAAACTGATTACCTTCAAACTTATAATGTGTTTCTTTATAGAGAGCTTAACACCTCCTATTTCCATAGCACCGGTGTACAAGCAACCACTTGTCACATACATGCTTATTTTCCAGCATGGTTCAAGGAGAAATTACCATGTATAATTGCATCGACTCAAAAAACACTCCATTTGAGAAACTTATCTGATGTCCCTGTTCAAAGCGCGAATGAATACCACACATACTTTGTGAATGAATATAAATTTCACACTGAGACATGGATTGAAGGAAAAAAACCATAAACGGCGGTGTATCCGTAAAAGGAGTTAGAGATGGAGGTGAAGATGACTTCTATGGCATTGGTATACAATTACTTGAACTCGGAAAATAAAGTTGTCTTATTTTATTGTGATATGATCCATCTGTCAGAGGCACAAAAATAGATAAGTAATATAATATTGTTGAGACAGTTTTGACAAACACTCCTTATGAGGTTGTTGATAGATACATACACTAAACTCATACTGTAGGATATCACACCCTCGTTTGATAACCTCTTCCCTCAAGAGCCACCCAAACTCGTGCATGTTTCATTCTTTGATGATTGTGTAGATTCAGGACATTCAGATATCTAGTGTCAAAATAAAATTTTATGATATTAAATTGAAAAAAAAAATTTGACACTGGTTTTTGACATTACATTGTATGTCACTGTTCACGAATACAGTGACATACACAATTTTGACTTTTCTTTATATTCCCTTTTCTTTCTTCAAAACAACTTTGATATAGTGTGTAAAAATTTGGTTAATACAATTTATAATGTGGTTAATAGATATTCTGACATTAAAATATATTTTTGAGTGAGAAAATAAAGTTAGTTATTGAATAATAATTTGGTTAATACAATTCATAATTTGGTTATGGAGTATTCTGACATTAAAAGATTGTCTTACGTGATAACAAATTTTGGCTAATGGTATATATAAAGTTTGTTAATCTAGTCTTTAATTTGGTTAATGAGTTTTCAAACATAAAAAATTCTTATAAAGTTGGTTAATTGGATATAAAAATTGGTGATTACATTTATAATTTAGTATCAGAATATGGTTAATAGTATGTAATTTATTAGTTAATGAAATAATAAAGTTAGTTAATGAATTATAAGTAAAATAAGTGCTTAATAACATATATTTCTGTGGTTAATACAATGGTAAAAGTGGTTAATGACACAACTTTATATTAGTGTTATAAAATAAATTTAAAAATAAAATAGTTTTTAAAAAATAATAATTTTAAAATAATATATTTTTATTAAAAAATATTGTTCATCATATAAATACAATGAACAATACTTTGGTGTAGGTATTTGGCGTAAAAATGAGTGTCAATACCTACACCATATGCATTATTTATCGTATTTATACGGTGGACATTCTATTTTTCTAAAAATATTTTTTGTTTAAAAAAATATTTATTTTTAAAATTTATTTTATAACACAAATATAAAATTATCCCACTTCACAGTTGTATTAATCACAAAAATAATGTTATTAACTAGTTAATTTATTTATAATTCATTAACCAATGTCACAGGTTCATTAACCAATAAAATACATATTATTAATCATTTTCTGACCCTAACTTATAAAGGTATTAATCAACTTTTACACTCTATTAAATAATTTTCTTTTACTATTTAATTTTTTTTATGTTAGAAATTAATTAACCAAGTTATGAATTATATTAACTATTTTTATATATAATATTAATCAAAGTTGATTTATGTAAGATTGTTATTTATATCAAAATATATATTAATCAAACTCTAAATTGTATTAATTATGTTATAAATATTTCATTAATCAAAATAATATTTGAGAAAAATATATCAAAAAATAAAAATAATATAAAAATATTATTCACGTATTTATGAATAATATATATAGTGTAAGGTAAAAAAATTGTGTCAAAATATCATTTTTCTAAATTCTTTGAGTACGTATAACTACTTCTTTTTCAATGCATGTGTAATTTATAGAAAAATCTTAATTGTTTCTATTATTGTTGCATTTGCAAAGAGATATTTTTTCAAACTAAAATTCTTAAAATCTTATTTGTGATCTACAATATTGCAAATCAAATTGAACACTCTAGTCTTGATTTCAATTGACAAATTATTTGCAAAGAATCTTAATTATGAACAGATTATTAATGATTTTACAGAAAAAAGTGCAAGTTGTATTCAAATATCGAAAATATTTATTTGAAGAAAAAGTGAAAATAAAAAGGTTAAAATAAATCTTAATCATTTATTATTATTACTGTCTCATATTTTTATTTTAAAAAAATTAAATTTATAATAAGTTAAAAAAATTATTTTCTAAAATAATGTCATGTATAAATTCTTGTATTTATTTCTTTCAAATTATTCTTACTAATAAATAGCACCACTCTTCAAATATTAATAGGTGAATGTTTTTTATTAATAGGCAAAGAAAATTTAATAAAAGAGTATAAGGAACACCTTTAAGAACGGGTATACAAAATAACCGTGAACCATTCATAATAATTACAATAAGTAGAGGGAGTTCTATCAATATTAATTCAATTTTAAGAAATGAATTTTATTGTCGTAATACAGTCGCTGAAGTTAAAAACTTTTCCATTAAAAATCATTACATTTCTAAACAACCACATAGACCAAATAATTGTCAACCAAATGAGAGATGTTATTGCTACTTGTTCAGGTTGATGGTTGATAGATATATGTATAACTACTTTGGCCATAATTGCATTTTAGTTTTGATTTTCTTTGAACTATTCAATATTGATGTAATATTTAAATTTGTTTTCACGATATTTTAGTTCCCTCGAGGTTGTATTCAAACATTTATAAGTAACATTATCCATATCTTTTATGTTAAAACAATCTACTCGAGGTTGTATTCAAACATTTTATAAGTAACATTATGCGTATCTTTTATGCTAAAACAATCTATATTTAATAAATTATGTGTGACTTATAAAAATAAAAAATAAAAAATATGACTTAAAAATAATAGGGCTATAAGTTCATACCATGAAAGTTGAAACTCACTTGCTACTTCCTCTTTGAGGTGTCTAGTTCAATATGATGAAATAATAACCAATCATTTTGTTGTTTGCTTTGATCTTGGTTACATTTCATTTTAGTTGAGTTTATACTAGATAATATTCATTTAATAGTTTAGTCTTATTGATCTAGTGTGAACCGTAATTGTACGGTTGAGTAAAATAGTAAAAAGTATTGATTCCACAAAGAAATATGTGATTATCAATATTTACTTCAATAATATTTATCTAATGTGGTCGAAAATGGTTTGTTTGATTGCATATTGAAATTTTAAATTAAAAAATGATTAAAAATAGGATTGAGATTATGATTATCTATCAAGATTCACCTCTAAGACTATTCATGTTTGAATTGTGAGAAGTTTTAAGCTTTTTTATATAAAAATGTACGACATTCACTTTCGTGGCATGTGCATCTAAATGTGTTTCAAGCACAAAGATATGCCTTGTCACGCGACATCCTTTATTGTTTCTCAACGGAGATCAAATCGCCTTGTCAATGGCGCATCGGACTCAATTATTTAGTAATTTGCGATCGAATATCGAATCATTATCTTTCTATACATGATTAATATATATTTTGGCTTTGTTTTTGCAACTCGCGTAAACATATATTAACACTTGAAACCTATATTTCTTACAATCGTAAAATAAATAGCATAGTAGGGGTTTGTCATGAGAAAGATTCTCATAACCCCATGTCCCTAAGATTTACTCACTCATGGTGAGATGAACAACAACTATGAACAAGTTTAAGAACATTGCATGAAAAAGTAAGTGAATAAAGCAATAACAAACTAATGATGAAGATGAAGGCAAGATTATAATATTAGAAGTGCAGAAATTACAAGAAAATATCTAGAACTTAAGCTAAAACAAAGAGAAACAACAATTGTTTGGAGAAGTGATAGTGAAAGATGATAAGATAGATGGATCCTTAGGCCCCTATTTATACGAACCCAAGGCCTAAGTCACTAATTATTTACACTAATTTTGTACTTAATGGATACTTAACACTAATCATGAAGAGAATGGGAGTTACAAAAGCAAAAAGGTCAAAAAGCCATCAAAAGTTAAAAGTTTTGTAATTTCCATCAGTTGAGACGGACTGGTCGTGTCAGCCTCTAGCTCCTTCAAAGGGTGTGGCTCCAAGGGGGAGACATGGCCAATGTCATGAGATACGGCCCGATCGGGTTGGACTCGAGATTTTTGTACTGGAAATGCTCCTTTTGTGTGATCTTAGGCATTTTTCATCCAGGTTCGCCTCATTGATTTCTTATTTCCTGAAAACCAACACAGGAGATAAAACACATATAAATAAACTAGAACGATGAAAAACACACATGAAATCAAAGGGAAAACAAGAAAGAAACATGACATATTTACCGCTTATCAAATACTCTTAAACTTGAATCGTTGCATGTCCTCAAGCAACAAGCTTGCTTAGAAAGAATTAGGATCAAGAGGTTTTTTATTCTTTTAAAAACTCAAAAAATGAAAACTTGTCATTACTCATACATGATCCGTCACTCCAACCGGCTAAGGCTCAAGTTCCCCTCTACTCACCAACACCAAATGTATTACCGAAACACAAAACCATAAAATAGATACAGTTAATAATTTCTTACTTTGGCCACCTTTCTAGCTACGCTTTATACTTAAGTCTCTTTATCGATTTTCTTCCCTTTTCATTTTAACAATCAAATTAAGACACTTTGAATTATGATAGTCATCACAGGCGTCAGATTGATTGAGATTTTTTGTTTTTGTTTTAGGCACCAGACAGGCAATAATTGCTATCTTTATTTATCGATGAAATTAGACACTTTTGTGTGCTTATTTATTGTCCATTCTGGGCAGCATTTGGAATTTAATCACCGTTTAGGATTCAAACACTTTCTTTTACAAAGTGAATCACACTCACAATATAATACACCAACAACCTGTTCGGTTTGCCTCTTTGGGGGGAGGTTTCCGATGAAGCTCGGCAATACGAGCATTTTCAGGTGGTGGAACACGGTAGATTTGGTCCTTAGGGATTTGGACAACATAGGTGCCATGGCCAATATTGGGTAATTGAGGTATAGAATTATAATTTTGTGGAGATGGTGACGGCGACGAGGTCTGCTCCTCCATGAAAGTATGGAGAGCAGCGGGAGATAGGAAGGAAATAAGTGCTTTTGAAATGGGAAAATGGTATTAGAAAGGAAGAGAGAGATCAAAGTTTGCATGGGGAATGGAAATAGATACTATGCATGAGAGAACATGATATGTGATTAAGAGAAAATTGGGTAAAACATTGGTCGAAAAAGTAAGAGGATGAGGAGAAATCCTAATATTAGAGTTGATTAATGGTAAATTTTGACTTTATTAGAAAAATTTGAGCTGCTTTTACGGGTTAATATTTCCATTAAATTAAAATTCTCATACATGTTGAGAATAGGAGATTTTTTAAATTAATGGAAAAAATAAGGAATTTTTAAAACTATTTAACTGTATTTAAATTTTTCATGTTAAAAGTAAGTATTTATATTCGTTTTAGTTTTGATAGACTAGAATTATAAGGAGACGATTTCTTTTTTCATTGGAGTGTCTTCTTTCCGGCATCTAAAAATCCGAAAATATTATTTAAATATGTATATTTGAACGCATCTTATAAATTTGAGATATTAAGTTATCTTGGATATACATATTCGAACGAACCTCTATATTTTATGTTCAGAGACATTTTGGATATACATATTCGAAATAATTCAATATCTTAAAAAAAATTTGATTTTATTTTGAAAAATATTTATTTATAATATAGTTATAATATAATTAAATTGAGTTATTATTAATAAAAAATAATTTAAATTTATAATTAAAAATTAAATATTAAAGTAAATTTATGATATGAAATTAAACAATAAATGCAATAATTAAATTTATGAATAATTTTTGATAAAAAATATATGAAATATTTTTTAATTGTAATTAGTTTTTATTATAGAATTGATAATTAATTATTATATTGTAATTAAAAAATTTATTATATTAAAAAGATATTTATATTATAATCAAAAATTGAATGTTATTAATAATTAATAATATTAAAATAGAATATTTAATATTAAATGAATAGATTCTTGTAAAAAAAGATGAATAATTTATAAATTATAGAGATTATATATATATATATATATATATATATATATATATATATATATATATATATATATATATATATATATATATATATATATATATATATATATATATATATATATATATATATATATATATATATATATATAAATAAAATTATTTTAGATATACATATTTGAAAACCCTTTAAAAATGAAATATTTAATTATTTTAAATATTTATATCTGAACAAATCTTTAAAAAACTTAAATTTAATACATTCGAAAAAATCTGAGAATATTTTAAATTTTCGTCAAATATTTATAAGAAGACACCCTGATAAAAAAAAGAAATTATCCTATGAAAAAGATGCCAAATAATTTTTACAATGGACCAAAAATCAAATGAAGAAAAAAGGTATTGATATGTGCACCTGACATTTGAACAACTGGGAAATTAGTGGCTTCTCTGTCTGTGCTTTTTATGGTGGTAAATATGTGAACTTTTCAAAGTAAAACAATAATCTTATAATTAGATTGAAAAATATTTACCTTACACTCCAACAATTATCCATTCACCACTACATTTTATAAAAATTTATCAATTTGCCCATTATATACTTAAGCTCTCAAGTTTTTACTTTTCTCTTCTTTTTTTTAATTGATCCAAAGAATAAATGAAAGAAGAGAGAAAATTACTATGAATTACATATCAAAACACTCAAATTATCAATAAGGTATGCATTTGCTTACCAAAATACTTCGTTGTGACTTATCCATTTAAATATGTTTTTGGAAAACTTACACATAAGTGTTCCGATTTGTATTTTTTATCTTCATCCGATTATTTCTAATTGAGTAATTTGATATGTAGTCAATTTTTTCTTCATCGAATTACATTTTTGGAGTGATACTGAAACATTTTGGGCTTTAAATTTTTTTTAGCAATAATCAAGTATTGAAAAAAAAATATAAATAATTATGTTTCAGAAAAAATTACATAAATAAACATGTTTTAGAAAACACTACAATGGATACGTCAAGTGAGACATCGCATCCTCTTTAATTTTATATGGAGACGCTAAGTGAGATGGTGTATAGGTGCAACATGTTTGCCCTAAGTCATCTCAGATGGCGCCTAAGTGCATTTAAGAGAGAATTTTTTCGCTTTCTATTTTAAATACGAGACAATAAGTAAACGATATAGCTTAATGAAACTTCGATTTTTCATTAACAAATGAACGATTACATAATGAGAAAAAAAAACCATGCATATTAATTAGTTATCCCCCGGAACTCGGTAATGACTTGTGGTTCCGCACCCGCGTCCTCCCCTATCTCGTGGTGGGTTTTAACGATTTTCCTGTTGCGGTTGGGTCGATGGTCCATCGAAGTCAATGCGTTCAGGATCTACAAAATCGATCAGATCACCATATCTGAAAGATCCGCTTTGGTACAGTCGGTTACCCATGCCCTCAAAGTTTGATCGTCTTGGTGTGGGGTGAGGTTCCATGGATGGTCTATAGCACTGGTCGTCTGAGTAAAGGGGTAAAAAGGAAATGAATTTTGGGGTGTTTGGTATTGCAATTGTTGGGTGCTATGGTGATGTGGTGGTTAATGGTACGTTGGGTCGGTTGAGTCATATTCTTCAGGAAATCCTAGATCTGGGCTAATGTGAGATGATGAGGGGCCCACATCGGGATGTGGGGAAGACTGAAATTGTGTGTGGGGCATGTGGGTGTATTGGTATTGCGATTGAGATTGAGATTGGGTGTGGGGCATATGGGTGTATTGTTACTTAGGTGGTGATTGTGGTTGGGCGTGGGCCATATGGGTGTATTAGTATTGAGGTGGTGATTATGGTTGGGTGTTTGTGGATCTGTATCGTCGTGGTGTTTGGTGGAAAGTTAATGTATGTTGGGTTTGTTGTTGGGGATTTGAGGTTTGTTCCCATTGTGTTCGTGAATTGACCAAATACCTCAGATGAGACATGTGTATTTCTGGGTTATTAACCGATCTGTACCAATCAAAATATTGATCTGTGTATCGCATATTATTCTGGTTGAGAAAAACAGGGAATTGTAAGACATGTTGGTGACGCCTATGCCACATCTTACACCATTCTGGAGCAAAATCTTTCCAATTAGTAAGACCCTATTGGGTGTTGACCCTTTTGAGATGCCAGGGTGACAAACAAGTTAGATCGCATGGTATCTCTTGATGCATTCCAAACTGTATCTTGACACGGTCGTTGTGGTGCATCTCCATAACGTTAAACTGTATGATTGCAGTCTTTGCAGTCCAAACTGCTGCATCCTCGGGGTTTGGTTCATAGTCCAAACCCAAATACGGTCTCCAGATAAACCGTGGATAAAATTAAATCAGAATAATGAAAACGTAAAAAATAAATAATTTAAAAGTAGAAAAATTTAAAGGTACCACATACATCATTTGGGCCAAGGTGATCCAATAGATTACGATATAGAGAAACATTGAATCTTGGATTCTTGCCTTAATCCATACCCATTACGCAGTACCTAAAGGAATTGAAAAATAGTTAATTCTATACATTTATTGGGCGAAAGGATGAATAATAAATTATTTAAGTTCTTGACTTATTCTGTTGCGTATGGGAAAATGAATGCATTGTTGTTGACGGGGTTTAGGGACTCCATTCTCAACCAACCCCAGGCTTGGAGTAAGAAAGCACATCCATAAAAAGTACATTTATCTTTTGTTGCGTTTTTACACAAAGAACTATATAGATGGGCTAAAATAGCAGAACCCCAACTATACTTTCTTATTTTTTCAAAGTTCCTAAGCAAACTTAAATACATAATTCCATGTACTTTCGGGAAATAACAAGCTTCCAAATAGTATCATCATATAATTTCTAGCTTTAATTATTCTTGCTAGCTAGGACGAATTTTCATTCAACTCAAGAGTCGCATAATGTTTTTTGAGTTCGGTTAGTAATATACCTTGGCCTCTAGCACCACTACCTTCTACCATATCTTTGACCAACAATTCCTCGCATAGAGAATTGGGTTGTAGAACCGACCCATTCACTGCCTTACCATCAATAGGGAGACCAATAACATGTACATGTCCTCTAGTGTGACAGTAAATTCACCTATTGGTAGATGAAATGTGTGTGTCTCAGGTCTCCACCTTTCCAACATTGCAAGTATAAACTTGGAATCAATCGTGCAGTTTGAGATTTTTATAACATTTCCAAAACCCGCATATTCGAGATAGGGCACGATCAATGGGTCGGGAGTAATGTAGCTGTGTGAGCGAATTCTAAATCTTTTAGTATCCTACATTCAAAATATAAATAGTATAAGAGTCCATAAGATGACTAATTGAATAATAATTTTATAAAAAATATATTAATATAAAAGAATATTTAAGAATTTATAGAAACTTACAAACGCAGCAATGTTGTCTCTTGTGTCTCTGAGAATTTCTCATTGTAAGAAGAGCCATATTTGAAATTGTATAAGACAATGAAAGAGTTTATATCAGAGAGTGAGATGATTGGTGGTGTAAAACAAGTGTCTCAGGAGCCATATTTATAGGCAAAATCGTATAAGAGTGAATTAATGAGGTAGTTGGTGGTTGCATGCATGCATGATACGCGCCATGCTGGCGCCAAGTCAAATGGCGCCTACATGCATTTTAGAGAGCATGCACCATTCAACTTGGCATGGGACAAGCCTACATGTAGAGTAGGTGGAAGCATAGGTGTAGTGTAAGATGGAAGTATAGGGGAAGTCTTTTGCGAATGCATGTAAGTTGATAGGACATGTAGGGATGCGCCATCCAAGATGGCACATGAGTACAAAATTGAAAGATGTTGCCATCTCAATTGGCGAACTAGTGGTGGAGCATTTTTTTCTTGTTCAAGTTTAATGAAACTTATTTATCCTACATGCATCTAATGTTATCAACATTCAAACATTCAAACACTCAAACATTCAAACATTCAAACATTCAAACACAATATCCTCTATACCATAATATGTTATCAGTGCATATTTCAACAGTGAGACGTACATTTGTCCCACCTCTGGGTTTTTATTTAGATACACTGATAACATCTG